GGATGATTTTTTTTCTTGTTTTTAGCTTGAGTTCTCATTGGATCTGAGGGTTTTTTTTCCAGTCAAAAGACTTAGTGGTTAGATGTATTCAACAGTCTTATTACTCAAGTGTGAATGTGAATGCATTCTGTTTCTGTTCTGTTTCTCGTGTGCTAGCCTTGTGATTGATTGACACACTGTCCAGGGTGAACCTTTTCCTCTCGCCCCACCCCCTCGCGACCCTGAACAGTATAAGTCGTATAGCAGATGGATGGATACATGCTGTCTTAAAATAGATTTGATGCCATAATAACAAATTGGGTTAAAGAAAGATATCTGTGTTACTGACAATGTTATTGTTCATTAAGTTTAGCTCTTGTGGTAGCACTCTGCTAACAAGAATAAAAGGAGGGGAAAAAAGTAGACAGAAGAAAGTCACAACCAGTCATTAGACCGTGTCAAAGTAAAGATGGTCTTTGATCAACAGTCGACCATGTGTTCCAGCTGCGAGGGCTGCTGCCAGATGGCCTGGCCCCTTCCTCTGCACGGTCACAAATACCAGCCCCTGTCAGTCAGCTGACACACAGACCCAGAGGGAGGTTGCCCTCCGCTCTCATGGCTGACTTGCATGTAAAGTTGACTGTCTGCAGAGAGCTAATGAGGTCCAGCACCGAACTTGATTGGCATGAACGCAAGAAGAGGTTCAGAAGTGAGGATTTAAGATGTCACTCCACACTTTGTGGGAACTTCCCCCGTATTAATAACCCAACTCCTGCCTTCTCATCTCTTCTCATTTCTTTTCACCCTTGACCTTTTCTCTACCTGTGATCCCTCCTGCTGTCCTCTTCCTCCCTTCAGCCTGTTCTCTCTCTCTCTCTCCCACTGCGCTCCACTGGGTATCAATAAACAGCCCTGTCCTTCCTTCCTTCCTCTAACTGTCTGTATATAAGCCTGTCCCATGAGGAGCTGCTGCTTTGTCCCTTAAAGAGACACATCACACATGACCTGGCTGTGTTAAAATCCTTATGGGTCCTGTGCTGTGCTGGACATGCATGTCCATCAAACAAAGTACTTAGATATATTTTTTGGAAACTATGACACCAAATGATAAAATCTCCATATTTTGTTGACAGTTCGTATCGAAAACAACCAGAGCTTTACAAAATTTCAGTCATATTGTAACCCAAAGCTCCTGAGAGCAGCGGTGGTCTATTCTAAATCACAGAGCTGCAAATGCTGGCATTTCTCAAATCCTTTTGGCATCTCATAGGGATGCAACAATTATGTATCTTCCAGACAACAGACAGAGAGCATTGTACAAATACACTGGCAACGTTTGGTATTTGCACAATTTAGACAGTTTGCAGGAATTTGCTTGCAATTGTTGGTCTTTCAAAACTAAAAATTACCCAATAATGGATACCTCAGAGTCCTATTTCTATTTTTTTGTTGTGGTATCAAAACAGATATGCTTTTATTTTTAGTATCAAAGTTTAAAATTGTGGTATCATGACAACGAAAATGCAGAGCCATTATAACACTTCTGTCATCACCAACAGAGGCACAATACTGACCATACAGGGAACAGGCTCTAGTTTTATCATATAGAAATGATTCTTTAGCACTTGTGCTTATGGGTCTTGTGCAGAAGTGTCTTCCACATGGGGCCCATTTTCTTCATCAGTATAAGGGACCAGGCCCTGGGCCAGTATGTGCTGTGTCCCATCACAACACCAGTCATTTATTCTAATGAGCGTCGGCCCCACAGCGAGTGACAAAATTACTCATTTGGGTTATAGGTCATAAAAGTTCAAGTCCTTTTGTAGCAGAGTATAATTAGGTGTTATTTCACTGTCTTGATGTGGTGTTCCCTTTATAGTGGGGCCAACTGTTGCTTTATTAAAAGGACAGAAATGAGGTGTTTTCCCATCCAGGCTCTTGTCCCAGAGGTGAAAGGTTTTCCTCTCGCTTTTAAATGGAGACAAGTCAGGTCATTATTGGGCATTCTCTGTTTCACGGTATTCACCGTTAAAAAAGGCACGCTCCACTTTACGTATCAGACTATAGAAACAAAAGTGCATCACTAATTATTCTCTCAGCTTTTCTTAATAAATTAAGTGTCACAAGATGCCTGACACTCCACTTTAAAGAATTCAGAAAGGTGGAAGTTTGAGCGAATTGATAAAACAGGAAGATAAGTGAACGTTTTTGTTATGGAATGGGAAGATTTCTCCCTTCCTTTTGGATTCTTCATATCTAATATTCCTTGGATAGTTAGCAAAGGTTCAAATCCTGCAGGGAGAAGCCGCACAGAAAGCGAAGTGGAGAGTACATTACATCTCCACCAGTGGGGAAACTGGACTTGGTCTTGGCTTTAGAAGGCATATTTTGGTCATGACAGCTGGAAGTTTAGATTTAAATAGTCTAATCAACTGCCGTCCGGGTGTTGTAAATATAAAAAGTAGTCTTCTACCTCATCTTGTGCCCACTGATTTTTTTTAAATAGCATGTCACAGTCTGCTCTACATGTGTGAGAGTGACCACGACTGCCGCCACACACCGTCACAAGGGAGTAAACCAGAGAAGTGGGAGGGCGTCTGCAGCGTCACCGTGTTATTACAGTTCTGTTTGGCTGCTCCCCTTCCACGTATCCTCCCTCTGCCCTCCCACTCGTCTCTCCCCCCATCCTCCCTCTGCAGTGGACGTGTATCGCATTTGGAGCAGCAGGCAGCAGGTGGAGATGACATCATCTGCACTGCAGCACACTGCAGCACTGGGTCTGAACAAAGACATGTCAGCCTACCGCTAACTATCCCTCTCTCTCTCTCTCTCTCTCTCTCTCTCCATCCCTCTGTCTAAGTCTTTCCCCCCATGTCAGCCAAAAGACAGGGGGGAGCATATCCTTGTACAGAGTCAGGTTGTAGTGCTGTGACCTATCTCACACCTCTGACTCCTCTTCTGACTCGGGGACTCTGTCCTGAACGAGCTCTTAAGTCTTCACCTCGCCCGTTTTCACAAGTCAGAGTGTTGATACAGTTAAAGATGGATCCTGCAAACACTCTGTTCATCTGACAGCAGGCCCATGTAGACAGGGATTTGGAGTCAGAGACCTCAGTGTTGTCCTCTAAGTCCATTATTCACAGTGCACCATGTTGTCACTGAGAGCAGTAATTTAGCCGCCTGTGACATTATGTTTTTCTGTCCAATGATAGCACTTACTTGACCTCTTTTGCTGTGGCTTATAGGAGGTCTTACTGTGACAGTTGCTCTCCATGGAGAGCCATGACTGCCAAGCTACCGTAAAGCACAAATGTCACCAGGTCGTGCTGTGAAGACTCCCCACTTACAGTCATTAGGTCCCTACCTGCGGCGTCAACACCGTAAAAAGAGAGTAGGCCGAGTACACAAAAGCAAAGGACAGAAGATTTATGGACTCTATTTTTTTCATTGTTTGTCTTTGTCGCTCCGTTTTTCTTTTCTTTTTCCTGGAGTCCTTCTCCTCCCCTTCATCAATAAGCCAATAGCACGCAGGCAGACCATACAGACACAGCCATGTTCCTGTCGCCTAGTTACCGCTCGGCAGCAGGTTGCCACAGAAACGGCCTCATAGTGGCTAAATGGGGAATGCTAATGCAGTCTTCTATACTCCCTGCTGCAGTGGGCTCCCTGTGCCCATCCCATTTCACTGTCTGCACACGGCATACTTTGTGTGTGTGGTTTTGTGTGTATGTGTGTTTGAGTGCAGTAACTCTGACAGGTGTTGATAGATGAGTGTTTTTAGGGGGTTTCTTAAATGTCTTAAAGCAATTATTGTAACAGGTTTAAATTGCAGTGTTTTTTGTGTTTGGTAGGTTTTGATATCAGTAACTCAAATTCAGTTTCTATAGTAGTTAAAGGATCAGGATTAATAGGCTCTTTAGCTTATTGGACTCACCTAAGCCCTTGGACTTAAACTGGCCCGTGTTTTCCCCCTTTCTTCTTTCAACTGGCATCCATCCTACATTATTGTCTTATGATTTGTTTAAAACCAATAATTTGATCTCACTTGTTGGATCTTGTCTCTGGCATAGACTCCCGCCTTCTTACATTTTCTGAGCCAGTTTGTTAATGAAGAAAAATAGTGTACTATTTCCCAAGCAATGCTGAAAACTTAAAATAGAAAATAACACCTCCTAAAACTACTCTTACTGTCACAGTGTAAAAAAAAAAAAAAATTGCCTCCCAAACAGCATGTAGTGCTCTGAGGTCTTCTACGCCTCCATTCATCTTAATGTATGGAAAAACTGAATTTTTCAAGGACTCTGGAGAGGTCTAAGTCATGATTGATTGTGTACTTACAGCTTCTTAGTCCTCCTACCATACATGCACATGGAATGGGGGCAGACTGTGACTCCTTGGCCATAATAGTATGTACTTAATCAGCTGGAGAGGGCCTTCAGCTGTACATTCCCCCTCGGAGCATGACTGAAGCCCTTTGTGAAAGGGTGGACACATTTAACAGGTCCCCACTCATTGGCTGATCGTTCGACCCATATAAGACTGCTGGGGCTGTGTTTGAGTGCTGCAGGAGGGATGGAGGCAGGAGTTTAGTGATGGCAGCCATTAGCAAATGATTGATGGGGCTTTGGAGGTAATTTTAGTAAAGCCAATTGTTTTTGATGAAGTTAATGATTGATGCTATTGTTTTCTTTCACATTATGGGGAGATTTATAATGATTATAAGGGCTTAGTGTCACATCTGAAATTAGGATATTAACTTGACATCAGCTTTGCAGTATCTCAGAAATAGACTTTTAATTTGTTCCTAAAAAATGTATGCCTCAATAAGTCAAGCCCCAGATATCTGTGACTCAGAGCAACATATTTGGTGCACCTTGTGGTGCATACTGTGTAATAATTTGTCTTGTCAGAACACAGGGTTGTTGTTTGTGCAAGTAAATAGCAAAGAAAGACATTTTTTCTGCACACTGGATGTTCCTTGTGTGCTGATGTGTTCCCTCTGTGTCCCACTATTATCCCAGATAACCAGTTCAGAATGTCTATCCTGGAGCGCTTGGAGCAGATGGAGAGGAGGATGGCGGAGATGGCCAGCCACCAGCAGCAGAGCGGTGCAGGGAGTGGCGGAGGTGGGGGAGGAACAGGGGGGGAGGAGGGGGAGGCGCCGGAGGAGGTGGAGGGGGAGGCAACAACAGCCAGTCACAGGTAAAAGCCACATCACGTTGCTCATATGTTGTGTGTGTATCATTGCACATGTGACAGAACCAATCAAGCATCACGTTTTCTTTTTCTGTTGATTGACACTGAACAGAATTGAGTGATTTGTTGTTGTTATTGTTAAGAGGCATTTAGAACAACAATTAACATTTTCCTCTCTTGGGTATGTCAGTGTGTATCGGGCCAGTTGCAGGCCAGCAGCTCCTTCGAGAGCCGTGTTGTGGTGGTCTGTGAGAAGATGATGAGCAGAGCTTGTTGGGCCAAATCCAAACATTTAATCCACTCCAAGACCTTCCGAGGCATGACGCTCCTTCACCTGGCTGCAGGCCAGGGCTACGCCACCCTCATCCAGACACTCATCAAGTGGCGGTGAGTGCAAAATACTCGACATGCCCTATAATGGGGCTTTGGTTTGTAATTAGTGTGCCCTAACAGTAAATAACTGTGAGACGCTAATTGTTTTCTCTCTTCTGTACAGCACCAAGCACGCTGATAGTATTGATTTGGAGTTAGAAGTGGACCCTCTAAATGTAGATCACTTCTCCTGCACACCTTTGGTAAGAGAGCTGAAGTTATCACGTCCTAGCTTTGTGTGATTTGTGGCGTGCTGGTGGTTATTTAAGCATTTTAAACAGTCTGGTCCAATGATACCTAGTAGTAGAAAGTTTAGGCCCTCAAGAATTTATAAATTTGATGTGAAAGTGCAGAACAAAGACCCTCAAACGTGCCTTGAGTACGAACTTTGTCTTAGTGGCTGTTTGTAACTCTGTTTTGCTTATCTGTTCCTTTCTGCTCATCTGTCTGCCATCCAGATGTGGGCATGTGCGCTGGGTCACCTGGAGGCAGCGGTGGTCCTGTATAAATGGGACAGACGTGCACTAGCTATCCCTGATTCTCTGGGCCGATTACCCCTCTCTATTGCCCGTTCTCGGGGCCATACCAAACTGGCTGAATGCCTGGAGCAGCTACAAAGAGAAGAGCAGCAGCCACCAGCCCCTCTACCACCCACAACCCGCATGTCATTCTCCCCAAACCCTGACACCCCTACCACAGACAGCTGGATGGTCAGCTGGGCAAATAACACCCAAGCACCCAGCGGCAAGAAAGGGGGTCCTGCTACAACTACAACCACATCCAGCACCACAAGCCTCAATCCAGGCCAGTACAATTATTGTTTTATGTACATCTTTTACTCCACACTTGGAGGAGAACCAGTCAGTCTGATGATAATTGTTACATATTGTGATTCTTGCAGATTTGAGACGGCCGAGATCAGAACCCTCCAATTACTACAGCACAGAGGGCCAAAGAGATCTCCCGCTAGCTAAGAAACACAAACCCAACCCAGAACTGTTTCAGACTCGGCCCGACAAGGCCATGTCTGTTCCTCTGAGCCTGGAGCAGCAACAGCTCCACAAGCTGTCCTCTAGCCCCAAGAGCCTGTCCTCAGAGGGCTTGAGCTCAGACAAGAGCCTGTCTACAGGAAGCAGTACGGGGACGACCAGATGGAGCTCCAGAGAGAGTTTCTCCAGCAGTGGCTTGGGGAGGAAGGCGCTGGGGGTCAGTGGAAGCAGCAGCTTGGGGAAGGAAAAACTGGTCAACCGGTTACGACAGAGGGAACAGCTCGGCATGCTGGTGATGGCAGACAGAGAAATGGCTGATGCAGAACTGTTATCCTATCGGGAAGATCTGGAGAACCAGGACTGTCTCACACAGATGGACGACTTGCAGGTGAGAATAGAAAACCCAGCTGCGTCCTCAGTCAGCTAAAGGTGCAAACGTAGATCCAAGTACAGCCACAAATCAACGTTTAAAAATATGACCTAAAACTTCTTGCTTTTTATTCAAATGCTTGCATTGCCGAAATTGTGTATCCTAATATACAGTATGTCTCATGGGAACTCAAAACTCAAGTTAAAATACCTCTAGAATGATTGCTGCCTTTTAAGAACTTTTTTTTTTTGAAGATGCAAATCACTTGCATAACATGTAGTGCACTTGGTGTATACATCTTAAGTTAAATAGATATTTTCAGAGTGAGGAAACAGAATGGATATTTATTGTCACCACTTTTGAAAAAGCATACATAAGAACTAACCTGTCACCAGTGACAACAGCCTGGCAATTTAAGACTTAAATACAACCCTACAGTACCATGCCACTTCTTTAATGTCCGCCTCCTGCACTGGGTAGGCGGCATTCACCAGGCCAACCTGGCACTCTGTCGATGACCATCACTGCATAATAAACTCTCTCTATTGATCCACTTCCATAGCCAAGGGATCCTTCCAGTCATCCATCTCAGTCTAACTACTCCTTCAATGGATGAAGTGCCGGATTAAAAATGCTAGCCTCCAACCTGATCACACTTGTCATTATTACCCTCTCCATTGGCGTTTAAGGCAACATTTGTCACAGGGCTAAACGGGAAGCCCAGTGTGCATGTCTGAATCATGTATTGTCAATAGGAAAGGTCGCCCCACAGCTGTATCTAATGTTTAACATTGAGAGGGTGTGTCATCTTATCACTCTTCGTTCTATGTCCAAACAAACAGGTAAACATGATGACTCTGGCGGAGCATATAATTGAAGCAACGCCAGAGAGAATAAAAAGGGAGAACTTCAGTGCTGCAGACTCTGCGCCATTAGACACGTCAGGGGTCAGCAACACCATGAACTGGCTGGCAAACTACCTGGGAGATGTGGAGCAGCTGCCGAGCATTATACACCTACGGTGAGGAGCACTTTTGGAGCAGGGAAAGCAGATGTGAATATTGTACAGCTACATGTGGCTTTGTGTGCAGTATGTGTGTACCCTACTGCATTAGGCCTTCATCTTTTATTTCCTATGCAGCTTGGTATTGTTGCAAAGGCTGCTTCAACATGCACTTGTACTTTATAATGGCAATTTAAAATATACAGTAATGTTGTATTTTAAGATTGACTAGCCTTGTAGATTTCATAAACAGTACATGTTGAAATAGGATATTAATCACTTTGGATCTTTAATATTGTAATCCAATAGGATGTATGTGTAAAAACAGGTGGTTGTTTTTTCTTCTCAGCCATTGGCTCAGGGTAACTTTCTTTGTCTGGCAGTTGTTTATTTTTAATCGATACTACCACAGTTTTCCATTTGCATTAAGTAGAAAAATATTTTTGACTAGCACTGTACCAAAGAACATAAAAAGAATGTGAATTTGTAAATGGACTGATTCATTAAAATTGAAGCTTTCACATTTTCTGCCTATTTCATTCATACACTAGACACACGTATGAAGATGAGGGGTTCAAAGAGAGTTAATTTTTCTCTCATCTTCTTTCCTTAGATCTCTGTATAATGAACCCCTGACCCCATCATCCAACCCCAGCCTCAGTCCTGGGGGGTCTCCGCTGAGGGAAGGTCCCTTGGAGAGGTCTACACTCCCATCTCCAGCTGACTGGAGTGAGTTCATCAATGCCTCCAACAGCAAGGTGGAGCGAGACCTGGCCCAGCTGACTCTGTCAGATCCTGAGCAGAGAGAGCTGTATGAAGCTGCCCGCCTAGTCCAAACTGCCTTCCGCAAGTACAAGGTACAGGCCTGACGCTCAGGTGCCAAATGATGTGTGCACTGCAGCCTGCAGTCACAGGGTTGGAAGTTTAGTACTGGTATCATAAACCAGTTTTGTTGAAAGTTTCTGAAGGGTTCACTTTATTTTGTTCCAAGCTATGGAGCTCTGATTTTGCAGTAAGGTTTGGGATTGTGAGACTGTTTATGATTATTTTTTGTTTGGGGATTACACTGTTCTTATCATTTTTCTAAATCTACCTCTGTCTTATTCTCTGTTCCTGTGCTCATATACACATAACAACAAAACAAAAATATTTCAAAATACGTCCCTGTGGTTTCAGCATGGGAAGCTGCCTTGAGCAGAGCATGGCCTTGCTTAGAGGAACGACACTGCACTGTCCCCTGTATCCCTGCTGCAGTTAGATAAAATAAAGCTTATGTTGTCTTCCTCTCTATTCGTCTCTTTATCTCTATTTTTAGTAAGCTGTATGGAGCCTGCTGCTGCCTGTTTTTAACTAGCTCTATATACACCAGTCCTTTCCCCCTGCCCTATCCCATTCCTCAACTCGCTCTCCACCCCACAGCGACTTTTAATGAGTTTTCATATTACAAAATGTATGCTGTCGTCCACAGTCATCTGTTATGTCTGTCTGCCAACTGATGCTAAGATGGACAACAGTCTCACTTGGAGCCAGTTTACCAGCGCTGGACATTTGCCAGGTTCACCAGGAGATCCAGGGACACTTGACAGAGCCACTAATGTCCTTTGTGGCAAAATAAAAGTTCAACTGACCTCTGATCTGTCCCACTGTACTCTCCAACAGGGACGGCCGCTCCGAGAGCAACAGGAAGTAGCTGCTGCCGTTATTCAACGTTGCTACAAGAAATACAAACAGGTAGACACCACCAACACATTGAAGTTATTCTGACTTGGTCACATCTAAAAAGTGATTATAGGTATAGTTCCTTTTGTAATTAGAGTGTATCTTAGTCTTTTTGAAGGGAGATATTCACATGAGCTGAGTTTTCATTAGCAAGTTTTTGAGAATGCAGGAGTATGTTAGTGCGTCATTCACAACCTTTCTCTGTTTCTGTTTACAAGCTAACATGGATAGCCTTGAAGGTAAATGTTTCTTACTACCAGCTGCTGAATTCAAACGCTGGCTTGTTTTCCTCACCTAAAGTGTGAAGCCGTATCACTAAGCAAATAAAGTATTCACACATTGCTTTTGTTCTTTTTGGCACAGTATGCACTTTATAAGAAGATGACGCAGGCCGCCATCCTTATCCAGAGTAAATTCCGCAGTTACCACGAACAGAAGAAGTTCCAGCAGAGCAGGAGGGCTGCCGTGCTCATTCAGCAATACTACCGCAGCTATAAGGAGTTTGGCAGACTGAAGCCCCACCACCGCGGGGCTGCTGCTGCCCTGGTGCAGCACAAACTGAGGTAGGCAACCGGCCACATACTGGACAATTACTGGAATAAGCTGTCACACACTGACTCAGGGAATGTGACAGGAACGGAGATTAGGCAATAGTCAAACTGCGCAAGTATGGAGAATACATATGAACAATTGAGTTTGAAGTTAAACCTTAAAAACACAAAGACAATGTGTGGTTAATGTGCCATGGCAGTGATTCCCTAAGTGGGCCCTGGGACCCCTAAAGGTGGGGCCCGGCAAGGCTTAACAATAACAATGCACACACTTTTTCACTGCTAGCAAAGGAAAATTTGTGAGAGGACCTCCAGGTGAAGGTAATGCTGATAATAAATCGACTTTACACCAGACGTCACAAATTTGGAAGTGTCATGTTGCAACATCACTTTTTTATTGTGTCCTCTTTAAAAGTGGCGTGTTAGTTTTTTCAGTTTGTGGTCACACTGAAGTTGCTTTTCTCTACTTTTTGCAGCCAGTGTTTGAGATCAATTCTACAAATGTAGAAATTTGTTAGCAAAGAGCGTGACTGACATTGTGTTTAGTGTATGTTGATATCTGCTGAAGGAAGGCCTTGCTGAAAGAGTTTGGAAACCACTGTGCTCTGTAGATGTTAAAGGTTCAAACAAACAAAGGAATATGCAGATGGGGTCTGTTTGAAGAGTAGTATTTGTTATTACCCAACACCTATGTATGGCTTTCATACCAATAACCTTCTCTATGAATGTTGTGACCAGTACGCCCAACCATCATAATCAGTTCCTATAATCTTTTTTTTTTAACTCTATTTATTAGAATTTGTTCAAAAAAAGGTACAAAAACACAGGATGAGGGTTGGAATCAGTATTCAGAATTTGTTGCTTTGTCAACATGACAAAAGGACGAGACTTTACGGAGGGATCTTAGAAAAGAGTAGTTAGCTTTAGTTTGGGATTTTCATCTTTAAGATTGATTCCAGTAAGTTCTGAAATATGACTACAAGATTAATCTTGTAACCCATCAGCAATCATCATCTATCATTGTCCCATAGTTTCAGATATTTGCCTCTGGTAACGTATTTCTCTTTGACTTCAGTACAGCCAGTGGTTACGGCGTAACGACTTCCTGGCAAGACTTCCTTTACTGTAAATGCCGTCATTTCTCGGTCCATAACATACTCCAGAGTAACGTCTTTTCATCTGTTGCTGAAGATCTAAACCCCAGTGTACAGATTCTACCATTTTATGAATAATCTGCATACAGAGATCCCCAAAGGATAAGGGTTGAATTACATTCACAGTGAGATCATTAATTCCAGTTTTCAAGTACTGCTTTAGAAAATGAACTCTGTCATATCTGTCTGTTGTTTTGCAGAGGTAGTCTGCTCACAAAGAGGCAGGATCAGGCTGCCAGGAAGATCATGAGGTTCCTACGTCGCTGCCGCCACAGGTAAACCCAAACACTGACTCTTACACATGCACACATCACACTCATTGAAATGTACACACTTTAATCTACATACACATTTGGGCTGGGTTTTTCCCACAACCCCATGATACGATTCATATCACGATACAGAGGCCACGATACGATACATATCGTGATATACATTGGTTAAGGAAAATGTTGTACACAGAATTCACTACAACAGCTGTTCTTTAATGTTGAGAATAATCCTGCATTTAAAAAAAAAATCAATTCAGGTCCTCAGAGATCCTAGAAATATGTAATACACAATGTGTTAATCCCAGAGCTGTGGCTATGGTCTTCAGCCATATCGATTCTGTAACATCTGCATCGATACATGTGTTTGCAAGGAGAACATGACGATATATTGGGACATGGATTTTTTTGGAGCACAGCCCTAATACACAAACAAACAAACACATAACACACTTATTTATATGTACTCACTTTAATCACTCACTTTATGTTTAGTGCAAAGGCTCAAAAAAAAAGTGACATTTCAATGAGCTAATAATGAAGTAGAAAGTAAGCACTACCATTAGTTTCATACTCTCGTCCATGTCTCACTTATTCTTTTTACTCCTGTTGTGTGTCTGAATTACATTTTTGCTGGACAAATTGGGTGGTCAGAAATGTCTCCTACACCTAAGCTCCACCCCTCCTTCCCCTCACTGTATTTGGTTCCCCACCTGTCCTCGCCCCCTCCCTCACAGTGCCTACTGTGTGCTAATAGCTGTCTGGTATTGTTTTGCTGTTTATGCCAAGCCCCTTGATGGACCATAGACTGTTCAAGCGGGTGAGTGCAGCCTCAGCAACTCAGTTCGTGCCTCTCTCTCTCTCTCTCTCTTTTCTTTCTTTCTTTCTCTCCTATTATTCCTTATGCCTCTTTCTCCTTCTTATCTCTCCCTTGTTCTGTCATTCTCTCTCTCTCTTTATTAAAACAATTATCCCCTCTTGAAGTCTTGGCCTTCGCTTTCTCTCCTTCCGTCTTTCTTTCACTCTCACTCTCATTTTCTCTTTTGCTCTCTGTCTCTCCCACCCCTTCAACCACCCTCCCTCCTTCTCCATCACTGTTGCTTGATGCCTGCTTGCATGAAGGCTGCCGACTGGAGCCACAGGTGGACTGAGAAGCTCAGATTTTAGTGCAGAATATATCTCAAACTAACAAAATGCTTATGAATGATGATGTCACTGCAACACTTAACAGGCACTTCTCTGACTCTTTTTATCTCTGTCTTTCTCTTCTTGGAATTTCCTTTCTTTTTTTCAGTTTTGTGTGGATGTGCAGATAGTCATTTTGAGAAAACAGGAGGCTTTGTTTCAATCATGTTTTATTCTGCTGCATGTCAAGTGGTGACAACTATGGGCCTTGCTCTACCTTTAGGCATGCTATGGACCTGCTGTTTCTCAAGTAGTTGTCTGTCCGTCCGATTGGCTGTGTGTCCATTTCTTGCCACTCGACAGACTGAGAGGGGGAATTAACTCTCTTGTTTTTTCATTTAATGAAACTATGTCAAACTGTTTAAGGGAATATAACCACTGGTTTTAATAAAGAAATAAATACATCATGATATCTTGAAAAATATACATCGCTGGGAAAAAGCTCAGAAAAGCATAAATTGACATTTGAGCCTTTGCACATTTTCTCAAATATTTAACCTTTGTTTCAACATATACCCTTTACTGTGTTTAAAAAGTATTAACATGTGTGTCACAGAGGGTGTGTCTTTCAAGTCGTGATATAGGTCAGGACACTTTGACGGCATGTAGGTCACAGTGAAAAACAAACAGTGGTGTCTTCCATCCATTGGGAATAAACCACCGCTTTAATGGATTCAAATCTCCAGAGAGCTCAGTGTGACACGATGCAGCAAACACAAATACACACACACACACACACACACACACACACACACACACACACACACACACACACACAGATACATACAGATACATACATACATATATTTAGCCATGCATTTTCACAGTCCACCACTCTTCAGCACATAAAAGATGCATTAGTTTCTGTTAAGAACATGAGTAAGGCTAAATTCATAACACGATGTTGGTTGATGTATAAATATCAGCTTAGGATAAAGATCTACCCGGCAGCCTGACTGCTTTTTTGACACTTGAGACATGTCTCGTCTATGAACTCATAACAGCTTCTGGTGGTATTCTTCAGGTCACCTCATCTTATGACGTTTCAATATTATCAGTTCCTTTTTTCTCACATGAGGGGAGATTTTCTCAACCTTGACCGCTGTGCCAGGAAACACTTCTCAGTTCTTTTGGTTTCTAAGTCGGGGAATAGACCACTGAGCCACAGAGAAACAGTTCAATGATTCATACTTTTTCATCTGATTTAATGGCTACGGGACAGTTTAACATTATATAATAGTCTTTATTTGCAATATAATCAAAGAAGTCAGTCGCCTCCCGGTGGGCGACAGCAGGGCAACATGATGTAATTTGAGAAGAAAAGTGTGTCATGGTGCCAAGTGTCACTTTTAAATGAGCTAAATCACTTAAGAATCATTTGTATTTAATTTAAAATATCCCAGCTGTATTGTTCAGAGCACTGCAAAACAAAATGCTTCTTGTATATATTATGTCCTAAAAGTGCTTTTAATCTCCAACCTGATAGAATAATATGTTAATGATTTTGTATTGTGCTATGATTATCCCCCTTTTGTTCAGTTCAGTCCTGACCAACTTCTTTCTTTCACAGAGCAGCAGCATATGTCCTGATCATCTGGGCTGTCTTGATATTGTTCTGATAGTATTGGCTGACTCTGTCAGGCCTGTGTATGTGTGTCTTGATGAGTTTGTTAGCAGAAACTTTAGCCATGAATGCTTGTATTCATGTACGTCTGTTCTCTATCTGTGTTCCAGGGTGAAAGAATTGAAAAGGGCCAGGGAACATGAGACCCCTCAGAAGAGCCCCCTCACGATGTGACATCACTCTCCTGACTCCTCTTTTCTTTTTTCGTTTGTACCCGAGACATTTTACAAGAGAAATGAAAAAAAAAAAAACATCAATGCAAGCACTGCAATTATTACTACTACAGCAGTGTTACTGGCTGGACTACTGCAACATGTACAACAGCTTTTTTTCACATATCTTTTCTTTTCACTGACTTGATTTTGGTCGGAGAGTGGCAACTTCTAATGGGAATATAAACTACAAAGGGCCGGGGTGGGGGGGTTCAGAACATTTGCTTCATGGCATTTTTTGCACTTTTTCATGGATTGCTTTTGTCTTATTTTTGAAAAAGAAGAGGATTCAGATGGGAAAGGAAGCCAAGGCAGGACATGTCTGAGAGGACGCATATTAAGGCTGCTGCAGAAGATCTCAGAGGATAGGGAGACCATGCAGAAACACTCTGGGCTCTTATTGTGTTTCATATTTTTTAAGTGACCAATCGATTCATTTGAAGAAGGATTTTTTTTACCAAATGTATTGGTGATCCACACATCCACTTGTTTCCACTGCTGTAGATGATACGATTCAATTTAGCTCAACAATTCACACTGTCCCACTGTGCTCTACCCCACCAGTCTGCCCACTCGGGTGGAGCTACAAATGAATGTAGTCGGGGGTTTAACAATACAGAAGCAGATGAGGGATACGATATTTGTTTTTTGCCATTTCTTAAGGAAACCCATATGGTTTATGGTAAATATTGTCACTTTCTTACTTGAATTTGTTCCATACCGTCTGATGTATTTGTTCCATCATGTCCAATGTAATGGTGATCTGTATCTTCAGACTCTATGTTGTTGATTCCTTCCAAGAAAAATGCATGACTTCTTGGCAAGAAAAGTCTTTGCTTGTGTGCTTATGGTCCAGTCTTTCAGCCTATCCTCTGATTTTCTTTTTGTTTCCATCTCTCCCTTCATCACCATCTGAGTAACACTATCCATGTATCGTCTTGTTTCTTTGGATCTCACTCCACGTTGCTTGTTTCGGTTGATTGCTCCTCTGAAAGCGAACAAGAGAAGAGAACTCGCCTATTTGGTTCGTTCTGGTTCTGGTCATGCAGGTTATTAATGTTCTTTTTAAATGAACTTCAGAGCCTGTGAAGGCTTTTGAGGGGAAGATCACATACATTGCCTTGACGTCTTAGAGATTCTTTGAGGGGTCCCTAAGCTTGTCCCAAAATAGGGGTTTGACAAATCCATATTTTTGACAATTGAGCGATTTCTGTATATAAAGAAGGCTGGAAGTACGTAGGAAAAAAACATTTACCCAACGGGGATTGTATTTTAGAAATATATTATTTTATTCATTAAAAATGGGTCAAAAACAGGTATGAGACAAAAACAGAATATTTGTATAGTTTTGTTTGAATGCCTAAGAAGTATGGTTGTATTGTTTGTAAATAGTGTAAATACCTGGGATAAAAATGAGCTATGTGCATGAAAAGTATGATGAGATTCAAAAGGGAAAAAAACAACAAAAGCAGTAGTGGCTATGCTCTGTAAAATTAAAACTATTTCACTAGTAGAGTATTTTATTTTATTTTGATTGTTCTTAAGAAGAACATTTTGCTAAAGCATGATACTATTGCAATATAAAAAGTACAAAAAAATACTGTATTTAGAGTTAGGAGAAGTCTGCAAAATTATCTTAAAACAAGTACAGTTATGTTTACATTTTCTTTCTTTGTTTTTTTTTTTATTGGTTCGTTTTGGGCTACCAAGAATTTTTTGCCAATGGTGCCAAGATATGTGAATGCTATATAGCTTAAGATGAAGAGTTAAGTTAATTTTTGCAGAACAGATAATCATACACAAGCACTGAAGACCATAAGATCACAACTGGCCGAGTCACTCGAACAATAGGGTACACAGTTTGCAAAGGGGGGGTCATGTTTAAGCAGAAAGCATTGAAGTCTCTCATGTCTCCACTGTTCCAACATTAACTGAAGCATTTGACCATCACTGAATACGGTTTGATTTATTGTTTTCATTGCAAATGGAATGTCATATGTTGTTGAGATTTTTTGATCTTAGCAGCCTTGCCCATGGTGTCAATGTGATAACTCTCCGTCCCAGAGAACGATTTAATCCCCCCCTTAAATGTAAATGTGCAGCAAGAATTGATTTATCAATTCTTGGCTTACCCCTGTAAACTCAGCAGGATTTTTCCCTAACACACTACGTTTTAATAGAGAGGAACTCCCTGATCAAGGCTGCTAGGGTCTAAATAAACATTATATTTAATGTCAAATTGAACAAAGAGAAAGATTTCTGGTTGAAAAAGATGTGTGGCAAACTGTACATGACTGGATTTCTTTGTCAAGCAGCTGAAAAAAAAAAAGTAAAATGAACTCTTCCGACTGTCAAAGGTGCTAAAACGGTTTTAAAAGTTGCATCCATGGAGGGTAAATGAGCCAAAAAGACTGTAGTAACTAGTGTGTACAGCAGTGCACTTGTGCCATTTATAATTCTAATTCTTGTACATTGGATATATAAAGAGAGAGAAAACACTCGAGCTGCTGTTTTTTAGAGGTGCCTGCTGGTTGCTGCCTAATATCTATATAATATAATCTAACCCAAAAGTGTTTCTGTTTCCAAGTAATGACATTTGATCATTCAGCCAAGTGCCACTGAAAAACTTGAGTTTTATTTTAAAGTATTGTCATGTTTCTTAGGCTACATATTCTCACATTAATTTCTGTGACTGACAGGTTGTTTTGTTGTCCCGTTCCCCCCCCCCCCTTCCCCCCATGTCAACTTTTATTTCCCGAGTGTTTATGTAGAAAGTGCCTCTTCATATCCTGATCACGCATAATGCAGAATACACACAATGTACCCGAGGTTGAGGAAATGTGATGGTCACCCCACACACACACATACAGTGCTGTATCCTCTGTATCCCCCCCCCCAGGTTACACTGACCCAAGGCCACAATCTGATAAATTCCCAGTTCACACCGGTATCAGTCCAGCACTACAGCCTGTCAACATGCTAAGCTTTACTTTTTGTTTTTTTCTCTGCCTTCTGCTCTGTTTTCTACTGGGACAGCTTGTTAAAATCACTTTTAAGAAAATGCCACTACTGGGGTTTGTTGCCTTGCATTCATCCTCTAGTCTGTTGTTAGAGTGCATAGCCGATGCAACATGGTGGCAAAAAGGAGAGGGATTTATTATGCTTGCATGGGTAAAATAGTTAACTGGGTGACAGAACCTGCACCTAAAGCATGCTTATTTTCCTAGAATCGGTAGTCAGATAGACTTGTTAAAAAGACTTGAACGTTGGATTGACTTGTCACAGAATTCCAAAAGACATAGGGCATGTGACCGGAGGGCAAACAAGAATTCCTACAAACAAGCCAATGATGAGTAATCAGTTGCAACTGATGTTTTCATGGTGAGGCATGACGACAAGATTGTTTTTTAAGACCGAGCTCTAACTTTTTAGACTTTTTCCTTTCGTTTTTTTTTTTTGTATCATTTAGATTTGATCAGTGTGCTCCCAACCTCAGATAGACCAAGGATGCAGACAATTGTGAAAGTATGTACAGCAAGTATTTCCTAAAAGTGACACACCTTACACACAAACACATGCACAAGACACAGCAGCAGCACACATGCAGACATGTCAAAGTGTCAGTTTCATTTGTACACAGCGCGGTGAGGGCAGCGTTTGCTCTTCTCGAGACTGAGGGACTGATTCACCTCCCTTCTGTATTTTACTCAGGGTGCCAAAATGGGGAGGAGGAAACAGAGCAGGACACGTGATTCACGGCAGAAGACGTTGAAATTCAAATAGGGAAACCTGATGGTACTGAAGTTCACAGCCGGAACACGAAAGTATTTAAAATGATTGAATATGAAATATAGAGCAAGCAGATACCACAGGAGCCATGGAATAAGGTCCTGTTATATATAGCTCATTAAGAAAAATAATGTGACTTTTTATCATAGAATCCTGTCAAATCATAGTATAATTCAGGCCAGTTCTTTCGGCCTCTAATTTATCTAAGTGACACAGACTAGAGGGTATTTAAGATTAAGAGAGTAGTTTTATGAAAAGTTCACCTGCAAATCTTGTTTTTACTGCCATTTATTAATGGGATGACAGGTTAGCTGATAGGCACTCTTCATTAGCGTTATAAATTTTCAAAGCGTTCTGTGAATTGACCTGGGAATCTGCCTTTCCTCCTCTTCTTTTTCCCCGAGTACCCAAACCGGAGAAAGGTAGGCACATCAGGACAACAGAACAGAAGCAGTTTTACAACATATTCCACTCGTGGACACAGAGCAATAAAGAATTATTTTGTGGAGACCTATAGACCTAGTGAAGTTTCAAAATGATTGGACACATGTAGTCGACTTACTCTTATGCAAATGCCAGTATTGCAAGACAAGCATTCAGTAGTTTATGGACAGCAATTATATGGCACCCTTTACCGAACTGCACGTTTTCATCAAATCCAAACCGAGAAAAAAAATCCCTGCTTTGATAGAAAGCTGTGGGTCCTCGACACTTTGCATGTGAACTAGTGTTAGATCTTTTTTCCTCTCCTCTATAGCTGTCTTTCTCTCTGTCTTTCCCTGTTATGTGACCCAATTTTTCCCCCCTTCCCCGACCCTGTATCCTTAAGGTTTCATCTCCTCTTGGTTCTCCTGATGTGTTTTGCTTTCCTCCCTTTTCTCCCCTTCTCTTGTTTGTAAGTTTTATTTTTGTAATTGTGCATGTTCAAGCGTCACTGACTCGATGGATATGTTTAAAATTTAAAAAAAAAAAGAGATTTCAGCTGCTGAAGCCATGCAAAACGTTTTGAATTGCCCTTAAAATATGGAAGATGTTTTCTGAATGCTTTATATTCTTTCTGCTGTAAAATAATAAAAAAAGGAAAAAATGAAGAAAACTCGAGAACAAAGTTTGCCCGTCTTTTTGTTTCCTGTTTCTGCAAAGAAATAACCGACCAACACCTTTTATCAAGAAATACTATGAGCAAAAACAGTGTCTGGAATGTAACTTTATTTCTATTGAACATACAACGCTCTATTACCTTTAACAACAGGTCATACAAATTGCACATAAATATAGTATCACACAACACAAGGTTTTCTTGATAAATCATCTTAATATCTTCAGGCAAAATGTCTCAATCATACCTATGATAGATTGTTTTTTTTTGTTGTTTTTTTTAGCAAATACTGTCATGTACAGTAAGTGTGAGTACATGCACCCTGATGCACACATTAATTATAAGTATGCATGTTTTTTTTTTGCATGTACTTAAAAAGAGTGCAGTATAGATTTTTTTTTTTTTTTTAGTGCAAGCCCCGTCTCCTGTGTAGTATCAATGCCCATCTCCAGATTTTAAACACAGTACTTCCAGAAACACTCAGAGTTGCCTCCTCTCTTCCTGAACTGCTTCCGGATGCCGAGCACACGGCTGAAAGGATTTAAGAGATTTTGTTTCTCCAGAAGGACCTAAAAGACAGGATAAAGACGTTTGCTCATCATATGTAGCGTCACATTTATTTTGCTGTTGAAGGATAACATTTGTAGATAACCCACCTCTCTTTTCATCCCCCGAGGAAGCAGGCCACTCGTTCTGGAACCTAAAAGAAATAGAAACATAAGATGATTCTGTGATTTGATAAATCTGATTTAACAGGATAATAAGCCATGTTTCTTCACATGCACTCACACCCCCAACCACCTGCTCCTCAACAATGCACAGATATGATTACGCACGTGTTTTCTTGTAACAATTGCAGAGGAGCGTGTCTCACCATCTCTGTTGATCTCTGCAGACATCAATGTGGGATATCTGAGACTGGCACCATCCTGCAGTGGGAAGGTCTGCTCAGAGAGGGACAGATCATCCAGAGAGCTGACCCCTCGCTCCTCCGCGGACACTGAGGACAAACCAAACAACCACCAGCACCACACAAAGTTAGAAATGAACATGTATAGATTCACAGTGGACATTTTGAATGGGTAACATTTATTTTTACATTTAACATTTGTAACAATTATTGCTTTGAAGAAGAATTTCCCATTAGGGACAATAACGTTAAAGTCTTACACACAGTGCTTCACTTAATTTCTTGATCACTAGGCCCTATTTCTTGGTTTATTCTCAAAAATCGCATACCCAAACTTAAGGCAATGTCTATTTTTGTTTTTAAAACTACTGTGATGAGTTTTCAGCTAGTTTGGAAACAGACATAAATTAATATTATTAATAATAATATTAATAATATTAATATTCATTAATTAAGGCCTACAAAAGCAAACGAGACCTACAAAATTGATTATTTTGAATGCCTGACACTGCTGCTGTGGGGGAGGTGTCAGTTGAAGTGATTGACAGCATGCTGCAGAAACAGCCTTTTGTTTTCCAATGGTAAAAGCTATACAATGTGACAGAGTGATACGACTGTTTAAAGAAAGCAGTATTAGGTTTTTGTTTGAAAAATGTCACTGATTGAACATGTATAGGACAAATCAGCGAAGTGTTCATAGATCCGGCTTTGTCCAGAGGGGTCGCCAAAACCAACACAAACTGAATGTTCCTCACACGGGAACTTTAAAGGGACCATGTACAATATTGAACATGAATGTTACCATAAGATGTTTTGTGCAGTGTTATCTCAAAGCTCATACTCAGGCAGGTCACAAAAAAAACAAATATTTTCAGCATTTAATGAAAACACAGTTTTTAAAACTGCTTGAACAGAAAGCTGGGTATATTTTCTAACAGCAGAGGAACCTGCATTAATGCTCAATGATGTGTGAACTTTGGCAGAACAATCAGTGTTCAACACCGCATCTCGAAAGCAATTACATCAAGGAATTGCCTGCCATTAATCTTCACAAATGAGGTTTTATTACTTGAAGCTAATCAAGAAACTGAATTAGCTCAAATTGAGTTGTTATTTTTCACTCACCAGGTCCCGGGTAAGGCATCTCAGCAGATTCTGTGATGGGGTGGGCCAGCAGGGGACCAGAGGCCAGGAGGAGGAAGGCCCAGGACAGAAGATAGTTGCACTTCATCACTGAAGGATGCTGATGTTGGACAAGGTTCTGACCCGCACAGAGCTCTGCAGGTGGAAAGGAGACTTGTTCATGCTCTGTTGGTCCTAACTGGGTTATATACTTCCTGGACTAGCCTGTTGAACCCCTCCTTCATGCTAAACACACAGCCATCAGTTATATCCACCAGCCGTCCCTTTCTAAGTGTGATAAATCAACAGGATGTCAGAGGTGAATTATAGGATCAATAAAAAGACAAGAGCGTCAGCCCGAGCTTCAAGGGCACAGTCATGTTTTAGCAGCTCCTCGGACCGATTGACTGTTTTACTGACTTTGTAAATGGGACTGAAGCCGTTGTTTCAGATGTCACTCTCTGCCGCATCTCTCAGGGGAGCAGGTGGGGAACTGTGCAGCCAAGTGACTAATGTTTTTATGCAACCAGTTCATTAAACTCTCGGGCCATTTGAATCCTCTTGTCTCAAAGCCCAGAGAAAAACTGAAAACACATTTGGAGCTGCCTACAAAGCGGGGAGAAAACCTAATAAAACAGCATAATTACTGGCACAGAGCTTCAGTGGAAATGCTAAAATGTTCAAGGCCTTTTAGCCTATAAGCCACTTGACATTTCAAATCAATTTAAGACAGCAGAAAGAGAATTTTTCATGGGTCACTGAATCAGATTGATTCAGGCACATTATTTAGAGGCCTTGTTCTGTTAAACGTTACATTTGTGCTTACACTTGTTCTTAGCCATGACATAAAACTCAACTTTATTAGTCGTCCAGAGTCAGAAGAGCTTACCTATTTACAAAGATATAGACAAAGTCATATTTTCTCCTCCTGTATGTAAATTGTATCTTTATTAGAAGTGTGACGTCAATTTCAGACCCTTGTATGGTAATGAGGCTCAACCAAGCGCTAGTGACATTTAATTTTACGACCAGAGGGCCAGACGCTCCATTAGGTGTTGGTGTATATCATAGATATTAGGATTTATATTCTGTTAAAGTCAAGGTCCAGCCGCTGCTCCTTATTCAACCGTCTAAAATAAATGTTTTCTCCTCTGCACTTTACACAGGCCCTCTTTACAATTTATGGGGAATCTATAAAATCTGTAAGGCACTTGTGTTTAGAACCATTAAAAAAAACATATTTTACACTTACCTCAGATGCATTATGTGTGGATCAATACAAATAGAGCAGAGTGGTAGTAATAAGTCCATAAATTCATAAAGCATGTTTTAAAAGAACTGGAAGGGGAAACTGTGTATTTAACAATGTTTTTAAATACTAGATAGTTGAATTAATTCCCTAGAGTAATAAATAAATGAATAACTTTACAAACATTAAAAATATATATAAAAACATTTCAAAGGAAAACGTTTAATCTCAAATACATTTTGCTTCTGGAATTATAAATATGAATGTGAGCAGGTGTATCTATTTAAATACATGTTGTCTGGCTGAAATAGAAAGAGCAAAGCGTTGTCTTGGTCTGAAAACATCTCACCTGGTGGGTGGTTTCAAACACAGCAACACAATGTATTGTGTGAGTGTGTCATTTGTTTTGCCAGAAAAATAATCACAATATATGCAGCTACATCTGTCAGATGAACACTGAGCAAAATCTGAAAATCCTTCCTTATAAACCATGAAGTCTACCTTTTATACAAATAAACATTTACAAAGGCAGATTATTTATTATTTATTATTATTTGAGGATTATAATTTGCTTTAGTAGGCTACTGAAGTAGCACCATGCACATGCCAGAAATGTTTCAGATTAAACCTATTTACAGTCTATAGATTAAACACTTTGTCATTTATTAGGTTTTCTTTTGACTTTCTCACTGACAGGAGACAACTACAAAGTCTGTCAACATCTGCTAAGGAAAAAAACAATGACCTTATACAACACAACAGCCAAACATGATCCAAGTATGTTCAACAAACACTATCAGTAATGTAACCCGACAAGTTTTTGTGACTTGATCATATTTGACCTCGTGAAGATCTAAATGACATAAGTATAGCCAGCAGGGGGCAACATCATGTCTTGAAAACCGCAATAAACTTGCAGTGCACCTCAATACATTTTAAGCACATAAGCTCTCTGTGTGAATTCTTCATCGTGGAGACAATGAATGGACTGATAGATCTCAACTGGAGAAAAAATCTTCCTGGGATGTCTTCTTGGGTCCTCTCCCCTTTGTCTTTTAGGTTTGAAAGAGTGCACATTGAATTAGTCACAGCGCAAGGCACCTTCAAATCGAAAATAGCCTATAAATTCTCATCCTTTTCAACATTTACAAGACATTTATTTGAAGGCAACACTTTCCCTGCACTGAAATTACACAACTAAGCCTTTATTTATAAGAATAGTCCCTGCCCCACTAAATAAAAAGCCACAGCTTTGTCCAGGTTAATAAGATGCACACTGGATTAGAACGTTTGTTTATTGCTATTTATTCCCAGAAATCAAGTTATATTTTCTCTGCCTTTTCTTGAGCTCATCTGCAGGGAATAACTCCAACAGAATAAGCAGATAAAACTTTTAAAACTGTTGTCGAAATGCTCAATTTAAAAAAAAAAAAAAAAGTCGCCCAAGAATCTCTAAACCTTTAGCCATATTTTCCCAATTTTTGTAATTTAAATAAATAAATAAAAAACATGCATCTAACACGTTTATTTTTGGACATTTATGCTGCAGACTGAGAGAATGGAAAATCCCGCTGGTTTAGTGCTGCCTTCAATAACTGTTAGAAATATTGCAAACACGAAAAGTAAATATGGTGGGCCTGTATGACAGTGTAGTTGTTATATTATGTGGGAAGGGTGTAAAAAACAAAAACAAAGGTGTGCGCCTATTGTGTTGCTGTTGTCTGGAAGCTTGAAATGTATGCAAACATTTATATAAACTACTTAATCCATTAGTTCAACCTTTTGGCCTGAGCTGGCGGATCTTTTAACATTATTACCAGCTTTACTACTATCTACATCGGTCCTTGAACTCTTTAAATACGTAGGCCTTTACAGTGATAAAAGTTTGTTTTGGTTTCTTCTGTTGTCAGTGAAGTCAGTGATTTTACTTTCAGACACATCGTGAGTCGTGATTAAGTTTTGGCAGCGATATGTCTGAGCCTGAAAGAAGCACCTGAAGGCAGCAGCCGTTACCCGCCCCCCCCCTGCCCGCCTCCCCCCCCCGAACAGGAGCTGCCGAAGAAGCAGCCGGAGCGACAGACTGTGAGCTGAAGTTTGTCCGCCCTGGCTTCCCATCAAGAGTCGATGGTGCTTTTGTTTCATTGATGAACAACGACGACGACAACAACAACCCGTCGGCTTCGCTTTAGGATTCACAACCAAACGAAGAGGGGCGTTTAGAAACGGTCAAAGCACGTTGGTGACATTTTCGATAAACTGTGGAGAGACAGAGAGAAGACAGAGAGGGAGAGGGAGAGGGAGCGTGCGGCGGAGCGACTAAAGTTGACACCTGGCTGTCGTGTTCGGTACTTGTTGAATGTCAGGCTGTGTGCACACAACACAACAGTGGAGCCTGTGTGGGCAGCGTGCTGCGAACAGGTAGGCTTGTAAAACAAAGACGGAGTGGCTTAATGTTTGTAGGCTTTGTATTTTACTCTGCACACACACACACACACACAAAAAACAACAAAAAACAATTGACCCACCGTGAGACAGATACTTCTTTAACCATAAAGTCTACTTCATGCTAAGCTGCTGTTAGCGAACTGTCATTGACTCTGAGCGACTACTTTACTTAATAAGCTGTTTATGTGAAAGACATTACAGTCTCTCTATTTATCTTGGGAGGTTTTAGACTTTCTTACTTCCTTAAATATCCATTTCAATGTCTGGATAACTCCCACAACTCCCTCTCTTGTGTCAGGGTCTTCTGCATCACTATGACATATTGACAGAAGAGGGACAGTGATGGCAGAGCTGGAAATTGACCAGACAAACCTTCCACGTGTCGAAGAAGGTAAGATCAATCCTCCTGCATGTGCAGAAACTTTAATCCCTGTTTAAGAGATGTGTGTGTGTGGGTGTGTGTGTGAAGAATGCACCATGGTTTATTCAGGGTATGTCTTAAAATACTTCCAAAGTGAGTCCAGAGTCACCTACTGAGCAGCAGGCATCCAGTGTTTGAGCTGTGGGCACTTAAACAGAGAAAACATGAAGGACAGACATGTTGTAGAATGAGACATGTGACAACTTTCTTTTGTAATCTTTTTTCCATGTTGGCACAGAGTTGCAGCTGTTTTTCTTCTGACCTTGCGTGTCTGCTTTATTGCTTTGGCTTTTTATTTATTTATTTATTTTTTATATGTTTTGTGTTTTCTTTAAGCAGTGCTGAGATGGATCTCATCACAGATGTTTTTTTGGGGTGGGTTTTGGGTGCGCCGCAGATAAGAGCAAGTAATGAGATGGATGTTTGTGATATTTGGAGAAGGAAATGCTATCACATGAAGAGGAAGACTTCAGTAAAAGTTTATTGTTTTTTTTTTAACTTTAAAATTCAACTTAAGGCGCATCCAATATAAACAGTCCCAGAACGGAGATTTATTAAACCCAAAAGAGACATTCTGTTTAGAGGTCGGCTTCTTTGGTATACAAATATAAATGGACTTATTGGTAAATGCAGATGCTGAAACAACAAGTTTAAGAGCTAAATTAAACAAATAGTATTCATCTGCATAAACCAAAAGTTAAAAAATAAATAAAAATGTGGGTACAGATTAATTTCTCTTGACAAAATCACATGCATGGCTAAATCATTTGACATGGTCGTACTAATGCAGCCAGTATGAAAACATTCCCAGGTAAGAATGTCTAAGCCGTGGCCTGGGTGTAGACCGCTGACTCAGGCCTTGGCATGTCTACACTAATGAACAGGCTGGAAATAGGTCTGCATGTCTTTTATCACGGGAGATAATTCAGCACTCCACTCTTGTTTCCATACACAAAGGGCACACTGTGCCGTTTAGCATTTTTATGCCTAATCAAGCAGGGGCTGGGGCACACACAAGCCAGTTATAGCACAATAAACTGCTCATTGACACAACTGGTGTGAAACCAAATGTCTGCACAGTGTCGTTTTGTCTGCTCATTATATACTTTATCCAGACAGATGTATCAGACTGTGCTGCTGTCTCTCTCTGTGGCACTATGGTCATTTAGTTTATGCCCCATTGTGGATGTTTATGTTTCAATTTCACTGAGAGCCGTAGTTCCTCGTGTCTCACTTCTCCTCCACTTTCCTCCCATCCGAGACTCTTGGCCCAGTCAACTTTTCTTTGTTTTCACTG